GCGTGCCCCTTTGCCTTCTCCTCCTGAGTCCTCTCTTCCTGCGCTTGCCGACCCTGAGTCGGACTCTCTTCGCGCTGCCAGTCCTACTGTCACGCGTCTGCTTGCTACTGTCGTCACTGACCCCTCTTTTGAGTCCACTGCTGCGTCTGCTCTAGTCGCTGAGCTCGTTGACTTTGCTGCTCGCTGTCGTCTCGACTACGCTGCTGGTCTTGTTGCTGAGTCTGCGTCTGTCTGTCCTCCGTCCGTCGGGGGTGAGTGTGCTCTTGGCACGGACGTCCTAGAGGACAGACAGGAGGAGTTACAGTGTCTAGCGGCTGCTTCACCTCATCTCGCGTCTGTACTGCTTGCCCCTGAGGGAGACCCGGATGCACCAGACATCCCGACTCCGCGTTCTTACGCGGAGGCCGTAGAGGGTCCCTACTCCTCTCAGTGGCAGGCAGCTATGGATGCAGAGATGGCTTCCTGGAAGTCCACAGGCACCTACGTTGATGCAGTTCCCCCTCCTGGGGCGAACATCGTCAGTGGCATGTGGATCTTCCGGGTGAAGCGGCCGCCGGGCTCTCCACCTGTCTTCAAGGCGCGGTACGTTGCTCGTGGCTTCAGTCAGCGGCAGGGAGTTGACTACTTTCAGACCTTCTCTCCCACCCCGAAGATGACCACTCTTCGGGTGCTGCTGCACATAGCCGCTCAGCGCGACTACGAGCTTCACTCTCTCGACTTCAGCACTGCGTTCCTGCAGGGTAGCCTGCACGAGGAGATCTGGCTGCGCCGTCCACCTGGCTTCACTGGGACTTTCCCTCCTGGCACCCAGTGGAGCCTCCGACGGCCAGTCTACGGTCTCCGCCAGGCACCGCGTGAGTGGCACGACACACTGAGGACTACGCTTGCGGCTCTTGGGTTTGCTCCTTCTACTGCTGACCCGTCGCTGTTTCTGCGCACCGACACTTCACTGCCGCCGTTCTACATCCTCGTGTACGTCGACGACTTGGTCTTTGCCACAGCGGACACTGCTGGACTCGCCTACGTGAAGTCCGAACTGCTGAAGAGACACACGTGCACAGACCTGGGTGAACTGCGCAGCTACCTTGGCTTGCAGATCACTCGGGACAGAGCACGCCGCACCATTACCTTGACTCAGTCACACATGGTGCAGCAGGTCCTTCAGCGCTTCGGCTTCACGTACTCCTCGCCTCAGGCCACTCCTCTGCCTACTCGCCACTCACTCTCAGCTCTGCCTTCGGATGAGTCCGTAGAGTCGAGTGGTCCGTATGCAGAGCTTGTTGGCTGCCTCATGTACCTGATGACCTGCACACGACCTGACCTTGCATATCCTCTGAGCATTCTTGCACGCTATGTTGCTCCTGGGAGACACAGACCAGAGCACATGGCTGCAGCGAAGAGGGTATTGCGCTACCTGTGCAGTACGTCGGGCATGGGGCTTGTGCTTGGAGGGCGGAGTCCAGTGGTCCTTACCGGCCACGCGGACGCTTCTTGGGCTGACGACCAGGCTACGCAGCGGTCGTCACAGGGTTACACCTTCAGCCTTGGTTCCGGCTCTGTCTCGTGGCGGTCTACTCGCTCGTCTTCGGTTCTCGGCTCCAGTTGTGAGGCTGAGATCTACGCCGGGGCCATGGCTGCACAGGAGCTTCGCTGGCTCACCTACCTGCTGACTGACCTTGGAGAGCCGCCTCGTTCTCCTCCAGTGCTGTACGTAGACAACAAGGCCATGCTGGCCTTGTGTCGAGAGCAGCGCTTGGAGCACAGAACGAAGCACATTGCTCTCCGCTACTTCCTTGCTCGTGAGCTGCAGCAGCGTGGTCAGTTGCGACTTGCGTACGTGGCCTCTGAGGCCAACACTGCTGATGTGTTCACCAAGGCACTCGCGCCTTGTGATCATCAGCGCTTTTGCACCCAGCTGGGTCTTGTGTCTGTCTTGCCTCACTTGCTCTCCTCTTGACTTTACTTGTACTGTGACATATATATATACCTGCTCTTGCTTGTCTAGTTTTATATATATGTCTGTACTCCTGCATGTGAACTGGCCTCTGGCCCTGCTCTTGTGCTCGGACTGTGTGGTGACTTTGTGATCCACCCTGAGCTTGCTTTGCTTTGCTTGACTGGTCTTGTGACCCCTTGTTCTCCCCCACTTTGCCTATGGGGGTGTGTCAAACATTATATATGTTATACTTGTGTAGGCTACAGTGGGTTAGCCTATAGGGGGTACACAATTCTAGGGTTTACTACTTGTACTCTTTTCACTTCTAGTTGATCCATTCCTGTTCGCTTATTTTCACAACGATGCAGTGGCGCGACGTCGGTGGCGGTGCATCTATCTGGTCCCCTACTCTCGGCCACCACCCCCACAACCCCCCCACCACAGCAGAAGTCGCGGCAGGGGCAGAGAGGGTGGTGTCTTTGCGTTGGTGGATGGCACGCGTTGTTGCTACTGCTGCTCACGCTAGCGTGTGGCGCGCACTGCTGCTGCCGATAGCGCGTTGGCATGCGGCGCGCGCTGCTACTGCTAGTCGCGCGCTAGCCTACTACGTGCGCTGCTGTTTTTTGCACTGCTAACGTGCTGACACAAGGTGGGCAGCGAAGCCTAAGGTGGGGCGCGGCATGACGTGCAAGGGGGTGTGACATAAGGGGACGAACGGAGCTAGCGGGGTGCACAATGGGGCGACGAGTGGGGCGCACAATGAGGCGATGTGTGTGTGCGCAACGAGCCGACGAGTGGGGCGAATTACGGGCTGCGCGACGAGCGAAAACTGCACGGCACGCAGCAGCATGACGGATTGCTTGACGAGACACACCATATTGGAGGCTAATGGTGGGCCCCTACAAGAAAACTGGTCCTAAGGTCGGGACCAGCTCAGATACCACGTTAAGGTAGCCTCTTAGGCATAAGACTTAGGAATTACGAGGCTTTAGGCAAGCTGCATTTGAGATGAATAGGAAAAACAGAAGAGGGTCCACTAAAAGTCCAAGAAACTGAGTTATGCGAGAAACAAGGCAATGTGCGTCGCACAACCAAATTGGAAATACAACTACAATAGGCTCTACCGTAGGCAGTTACATAACTGTATACGCATACATTTTAAAATTATGGCGCGCCCTCGAGGCAGTGCACGCTATGTTATATTACGTTTTTGTTGTGAAAAAAAAGAAGTGCAATACAGCCGAACTGTAAGAATCCCAATCACTGAACGACTGAGGTAAAAGGGCTTGTTAAGGGCGTATTCCTACGGCCTCCTATCAAGCCACCTCCTATCAAGTTTTGTACTTTTTGCCTGTGAAAAGTAGCGAGAGGTTTAGGGTTTATGGGATTTTTCAGTGTGAGCTTGATAGGAGGTCAGATTGATAGGAGGATAGGAATACGACATAAGTAGCGGGTCCGTGCACCCATAACCCCCCGGGAGAATTCGCATGTAACCCTTCCCTAAAATCAATCGGGGATCCTCAGTAAAGTGCTACTAACACGAGCTTACATATGTAGAGGCTTTAAGGTCATATCTAAATTATGATATGTATACATAGATTCCCAGGAACATATATAATGAGCACGTGATTGTCAAAAGACGTGGGTATGAGTGTTTGCCATTTGACTATCCAGATAGGTATGCCCTTAACATAAGAGATTAGCAGTCTTAGACAAATCAGATATATAATTATTGTTGTTGCGTGACGAAAAGCGAGCTGTTCTATATCGATATTGCTTGTGCACGTAAATATCGTCATGAAGAGACCAATCACAATGTGCGCCCCAATTCCGCTAGTTCTGGTTGGTCGATCTTCAACTCTCGTGACTCATCTCTGCCGCCACCATTGGCGCACCTCATGAGCGATGTGCTAGGTGAGCTGGAGCAGCTTTTAGGATGATGTGGTCTGAGCCATACATTTTGCGCATCCAGCAAACCATTTCAAAGGATGACGCAACGTTGGCGGGACGCGCACGTGCCCATCACGACGGTGCTTTGCTCTTTTGCCTCTCGATCACTGACGATCATTGGTCAGGGCAGGCCAGAAGCGAGGAAGAAAAGATTATGAGGGGGCGAGAGCGAATGGAAAGTGGTCATTTGGTTTGGAAAAGAACCCCCACCACGCTCCGCACACGGATTTGCCAGCAAGACGAAGTTGCAACCAATCAACGTCGAGCCGAGGCTCCTGACTCCTCGCTTGGTGGTTCTTCGTGGTGGATAACGCGGGCAGGGAAATCTGATTTTCATTGGGTTACGAAACTCTAACGAAGCAGTCAACCTCGGCAGCGATATTATGCGGCTTCGCGAGCAAATGATATACTACCCCAACTACTGCCATGCCGAAGGGCGCCACTAACCGAATCATCGCACAAGCGCCTCAGCTCCGCGCTCAACACTCTCCACACTCGAAGCGCTCCGCGTTCACCGACGCACCACACTCACTCCGCTCCGCGCATATACTGCTCCGCCCTCCCTCCGCTTTGCGCTCACCCCTGAATAATCACCCACCCCCCCGCTCACTCCATCACCAAGCAAGATGCCACAGGTCAGTCAGAGCTTCTAGAATTATCACTCCTAGAACGCGAGCTGCCACTATTTCTTTCATCCTAAACGGCACCTCGTTCTCCGACGTTACCGTTCTCCGGCTAGTAAGTCACGAATCTGCACGCGTTCATAGTTAGTACCCTTACAGGATCGTGTGATAATTACGAGCTAGACAAGTTTCGAAACGCGTGGCTCTACGTGCCCACCTTTTCAACCTTCGAACTCACGAAGTTATGACAGCCGCACTTCCGTCATGGGCGGGAGTGCTTCAATCCAACGCGTCGGCCCCGACAGGTCTGCTCTGCGCAAAAAGTCCTAGCAAGCTCAGCAGCCCGAGCGATTCGACAAACCTTGGGAGACAGAATAGCGGACGACCTCAGAACGGAAATTCGTCTCCGCGACACCCGCCGTCTCTCGCGCCCATCTTAACCCGCCGCGCAAACACTCCGCACAAACCTGAGTGTCGTCTTAAGCCGCCCTATGGCCGCCGAACCGCGTCAAAGACAACCGTGGTGCCGCGGCGCCGCACCGGGCCGGTGTCCTTCCCCTCCCCTCCCAATCACCGGCGAGTGTCGGCCGCGTCGCAATCTTCAGCCCCCCACCGGTCGACTGCGGGAGGCGCTGCGCTTCGCGCCGTGACTCATGCCGCACCTTCCGGCGCCAATCACCGCTCCCTGCTGCAGGAAAGCGCGTTCAGCGCCGAAGCGCTCGCTTTTAATCTCGCCCTCCGAAGCTTACCATCAGAAGCCTGCGTATCGTCGTCCTCCTCGTCCTCGTTATCAGCTTCCCCGCTACAATCCTCTTCGTTTAAAACACCAAGGACAGCGAATGAGTTTAACGGCTCTACCCATCATCATCATCATCATCGCGACTACAGAAATGGGGTGGCGGCGGCGGCTGCAGCAGGAACCGGGCCGGTGCCAACTCTGCGGTCGCCGCCGGCGGCAGCGGCGGTGGCGACGACGGCGGCCGTGACGTCGCCGGCAGACGAGGAGCGTGATAACGATGCCGACTCGAGTCGCGACTCGGGGACTGCGTGGGAAGGCGTTAAGTTGCTGCCGTTTGCCGCATCTGTCGGCGTGGGCCTCGCGACGTGGGCTTTAATTCCAGGTACACATTCTAATTGCAGGTGGGGTTTAATTCCAGGTATGCTCCTCGCCCCCCTCCCCTTCCCCTTCTCCCCCTTTCCCCCCGTCCTCCTTCCGCTTGAATTCGCGTGCCGCAGTGCCAGAGGGGTTGGCGGACTCGACGTGGCAGCTGCAGGGTCGACTTGGCATGCCAGACCTTCCTCCCCGTTATCACCCCCTTTCCCCCTCCCTACATCCCCTCCCTTTCTCCTCTCCCTTCCACCCTCCCTTCCCCCCTCCCTTCCCCCCTCCTCTTCCACCCTCCCCTCCCCCTTCCCCTTCTCCCCTCCCCTTACCCCTCCCCTTCTCCCCTCTCCGCGCGCCGCAGTGCCCGAGGGGCTAACGGACCAGGCGTGGCAGCTGCTGGCGGTGTTCCTCACCACTATAACGGGACTGATCCTCGGGTGAGTCAACAACGGAGCGGCTTATAACGGCTTATCTCCTCCCGACCCCCGCGCCCCTTCCCGCTGTCCACCCTTCCCCTCCACCCATCCCCTTTCCCCATCTCTTCCCGCTCCGGTACCCTCCTTTCCTCGCCGTTTCGTCCTATACTCGTCATCTCCGGTACCCACCTTCGCGTTCCCCTTCCCCCTGCCCACCCCGCCTTCCGCGCGCTGCTCCCGTGACCTTGCCCTCCCCTTTCATACCCAGTCTTCCGCTTCCTATCGTATAACAACCTGCATGGATTTGAACCTCTTTTTTGTGTCGCGTTCCTTTGATTAAGGCGCCTTAAAAAAAAAAGGGATTCCACATGGTCTAATTCCTTCTCCTCCCCTTCCTCTCTGATTGCCGAGCAGGCCGCTTCCTGTGGGCGCGTGGGCCTTCACTTGCCTCTCCTTCGCTATAATCACAGGCACTCTCTCTTTCTCTGACGCCATTAGGTAAGGATGCGCAGAAAGGCTTATACACGCCTCGTGATTATTTCTTAGTCGACTCGAATATCTCCTTTGCGGTACTCAACGGCACTCTCTCTTTCTCTGACGCCATTAGGTGAGCGAATGCACAGAGTTGACTTTTGAGTCGACTCAAAAGTCAACTCGCCATTAGGTGAGCGAATGCACAGAGTTGACTTTTGAGTCGACTCAAAAGTCAACTCGCCGTTAGGTGAGCGAATGCACAGAGTTCGGACGACTCTCCTCGCACTCTTCTCGTCGTCGTTTCACATTTGCGTCAACCTCCCCCCCGTCGAGTGATTTTTGAGAATTCTCAAAAATCACTCGCAACAACCTCCCCCCCGTCTCCCATTCCCCCCTCTACTCCCCCCTCCCTCTCCCCCCGCCTCTCCCCCCGCCTCTCCCCGCGTCATGACAAACCAACCAGGTCATCTGGGCTGATCATCATCTCCTTCTTCCTCTGTTCTTTTCTCATGTACTCGTGTATCCTCTTTCCCCCTAATCCTTATCCTCTTCCCCCCTAATCCTTATCCCGTTTCCCCCTAATCCTTATCCCCTTTCCCCCTGCTCCTCCCCCTCCTCACCTGCTCTCGCACTCTTCCGCCGCTCCACCCCCCCTTCTCCCCTCTCTCAGTGCCATGACGAACGAGGTCATCTGGCTAATCGTCATCTCTTCTTCCCCCCACCTCCCCATCCCCCCCCCCAACCCCCACCGCACCCTCCTCCCCCCCTCCCCAGCGCCATGACAAACGAGGTCATCTGGTTAATCGTTATCTCATTCTTCTTCGCGCGCGGCTTCGTCACCACGGGCCTGGGTGACCGCATCGCCACGCTCTTTGTCAAGTGGTTCGGCAGCAGCACCTTGGGCCTCAGCTATGGGCTTGCAGGTACGGTTTGGAGCGGTATGATTTGGTTCCCAGGCGTGTGACAGACAATGTGCCTCTGCTGTTGTTTGTGACCACGGGGCTGGGCGACGGCATTGCCACGCTCTTGGGCCTCAGCTACAGCCTTGCAGGTACGGCGATTGTAGGTACGGTACAGTCAAGGCAGGTACGGTAGCGTCAGGTGCGGTGTTGTAGGTATGGCGTTGCAGATTCAGTGTACTCCCCTCAGGTCCCCTTGAGTCTGTGTGTGGTGGTCCTTTCCGTTCCCCTCTCTCCTACCTTTTAAACCATCCCCCAACCCTTTTTTCCCTATCCCTCCGCATCCGCTCTCCCCCTCCTCTCCCCTTCTACCCTTGCCAGCAAGCGAAGCCCTGTTGGCCCCAGCCATGCCCAGCACCACGGCGCGGGCCGGAGGCGTCTTCCTCCCCATCATCGACTCTCTCTCAAAGCGCTTTGACAGCCGCCCCAACGACCCCAGCAGCAAGAAGCTCGGCGCGTTTCTCATCATGACTCAACTGCAGACCTCAGCCCACAGCAGCGCCATGTTCCTCACTGGTAAGATATCCTTTTGGGGCGGGAATCCATTCTTTGAGTCGACTTTGGAAGCTTGATGCGTTCCTCATTATGACACAACTGCAGATCTCCGCCCACAGCAGTGCCATGTTCCTCACAGCATGTCACCTCGATGGTCATGTTCAAAATGCCTGCCCTGCCCCCCTATCATCTTGCTTTTTTTCCATTCCTCGCCCCCTCCTCTATCACCCTTCTTGCAGGAGCCGGGCAGAACCTGCTGTGCATGAAGCTCGCGCAGGAAATGGGTGTGGCGATCCCGAACGCCTTTGCCACGTGGATGGGGATGGCAGTGGTGCCTGGCATGCTGGGGTTGGTGGTCACCCCCATGCTCATGTTCAAGGTGTTTGCACCCGAGGTCAAAGAGACGCCAGAGGCGCCGGGGCTTGCTAAGAAGCGGCTTGAGGAGATGGGGTCGGTGAGCGGGAAGGAGATGATCATGATTGGCACCATGGGACTCGCGATTACCATGTGGATCATGGGGTGAGTACGATAGTGATGATGCATAGGTGTGGTATCTCTAACATCAGAAAAGGTGACTCAAATGGTTGGAGGTTGCGGGTGATGGGGCGGATCAGTGGGAAGGAGAGGATTATGTTTCGCACGGGGCTGCAACCGGGGGTATGCATTGTTGTGTGGGCTTGGGCATTCTCTCTATATCCTTGCTCGCTATCCCTGTCTTCTCTCACTGCCCCCCTCCCCTTTTGAGGCGCCTCAAAATTTTTGACTTTTGAGGCACCTCAAAATTTTTGACTTTTGAGGCGCCTCAAAATTTTTGACTTTTGAGGCGCCTCAAAAGTATGTGGGCTTGGGCATTCTCTCCATATCCTTGCTCGCTATCCCTGTCTTCTCTCACTGCCCCCCTCCCCTCTTCCTCACCCTTCCCCAATGCAGTGAATCGCTGGGCATTCCCAGTGTGGTAACTGCCATGTCAGCGCTCTCCCTCCTCCTCCTCTCAGGCGTCGTCTCGTGGTCCGATTGCCTCTCTGAGAAGTCAGCCTGGGACACCCTCATGTGGTTTGCTGCTCTCATCGCCATGTCCGCCCAGCTCACCCACATGGGGGTCGTTGGCTGGATGGCCGATGGGGTTGCAGGCGGGCTCGGGATGGTCCCTGGGGGGATTTTGGCAGGGGATATGGCCACAGGGGGGATGCTGGGGGAGGAGATGGGGGGAATGGCGGGGATGCTGGGGGGAGATTTGGGGGAGATGGTTGGGGCGGGGGTGGCGGCAGTGGGAGCGGGAGCGGGGGGAGCGGTAGCAGCAGTGGGAGCAGCGGGAGGGGCGGCGTTAGAGCCAATGACTAGTGCCGTAACCGCTACTGCCATCACCACTACTGCTGCTGCCCTACCACCCCTAGACTCCCCAGCAGAGCTAACTTGGGTCTCCAGTTTCTTCCAGCTGCAAGTCCTATACTTCCTCGCGCATTACCTTTTTGCCAGCCAGACAGCCCATGTGGGGGCGCTCTATGCGGCTTTCCTTGCCATGCAGCTAGCGGCTGGTGTTCCCGGGGAGGTTGGTGCTTTTGCGCTGGCGCTAAATACGAATTTGTTTGGCGCGATTACGCATTATAGCAGCGGGCAGGCGGCGCTGTATTATGGAGGTGAGCGATAGTGGTTGTTTTGTAGTTGCCTGTGATTGATTGGTAGCAGATTGTTCTGTGTTTCTATGTTTTTTCCGCTCGCATGCACTGATATTTGTCGCTTTGTTGGTGGTTCTTGTTGCAGCTGGTTATGTTAGTCTCCCTGACCTGTTCAAGATTGGAGGTATTTCTGCCATTGTCAACCTGGTTCTTTGGACATCAGTATGTTCCATCATGTGGAAGCTCCAAGGAGTATTCTAGGCTTGACAAGGATTGGCTTTTTCGGTGGTGCTAAATTTGTCCGTTATGTTTATTTGGCTTGGATACTTATTCCCTTAAGTTCCAGTGTAGCCCTAATTTTTAGTATTAAGTTGGTTCAATTGATTCAATACAACTTCAGCCGTTCCGAATAACTCCAAATTAGTACCGCCATCATCGCTTTGTGGTCTGCTAAGATATAAACCAATCACAATCGTTCAAATCAACACATGTTCCTTTCCGTATGTGCTTTGGCTCGGCTTCACCTCCACCCATACCAGGGGCTTTCTAGTCTCACCCTGGTTTACGGCTTGTCGAACCAGTCTCCGCCCGAAGTGAGAACCCTCACCCACAACAACGACGTCGGGCGACATGTCAGAGATCGCCGTCACTTCATGTCGGTTGTCCAGCGACCGTCGAAACTAGTGGTGCGCACACCAGAGTGTCGCATGAAGGTCGCGTTCATCGCCCACCACACCCCTGCACGCTGTTGTCCCTAAATTAACCCAACCCCTCCCCTAAGGGCGTGTGAGGTCTTTGAAATTTGTAAGAGTTTATGTTTTTAGGGTGAATTTTAGTTTCGAACTTACAACGAAAGAAGTTAGAATTTCCTACTACCGAAGTTGGAACATCGGGCTTACCACACTGTAAAAAATCACACACACATACAAGGTCGAACCCCGACATTCGAACTTGTAAAAACGAGCCGAGCCGCACATCAACATCATAGGTTACCCGGTTCGAGAGTCTTGACAGTGCGCCACGTTAACATTCCGCGCCGAGTGTTTAACCGGGGTAAAAATAGCCCCCGTGGCAACTTGTATACTCGTCATTCTCCCAACATGACACGTTGCCACATCGTGCTCAAACATGCCACGATGCTGGACACGTGGCTACCACTGTGTGCACGAATTGTGGGGTGACTTCGTTGTGCAACTTCATGCATTGGCGAAGCGCTCGCCCGTTTCGCCAGCTGTTCGGACGTGCTGCAAATCACACACGCTCGTATGAACGTGCGCACGCACGTTCCCGCCTCCGACTCGAGTCAAGTTCATATTTCAAACTCGAACTTTTGCAGAGCCCATACAATGCTTGGTTCGCGAAGCACCCTTCGCGAAATTAGCGAAAAGGGTAACCACCCAAAGTTCGAACTTTATTTTGAACTTCTACAAAGACCTCACACGCCCTAAAATTTGCTATTCTCGCCGCTCTCCGCCAAATTCAAACCTACCACAAACCAGCTGACTGCGCCACACCCATACTGGTCTTGTGCATACTGTACCTACCCACACCTGAACCACACGCAAACGTTTCTAGCAATTCTCACCACCATTTTTTTCCGTGCCCGAGCCATCCAAATCAAGCGGACCAAGGGTCCAGGCTGGATCCATGCCTGTAATTAATTTTCAGTCCATTCCCAACTTGAGGTCTCTACCGAACCAGAGCAACTTGTCCTGCAACTACCGAGGTACAAGCTGCCAAGCCCCTTAGGGTTACAGAAGGGTTTGACACGGTTGTTTACGCAATAATACGATACAGCGTGTTTCAGTGTGTTTTGTGTTGCAAGGTACAGCCGTGCCCACCCTCGGATTCCTCTGCACTATTGGTGCCTGCTCGATGTCTTCGAGGGGGCTGTTCGTATGGCTGGCAGCGATAGGAGAAGCACGTGACAATCCCAAGGGTCTGAAATGTAGGCGGGAGGGGAGTGAAAGCTCGAAACGAAACAAACACTTTTTGTGGTGAAGTGAAAGGGTTGTTGGTTCGGCTGGCATGTCACCGCTGGCGCCGCCTTGACCTTGAACGGGATTTGCGGAAGGCTCGTTACCTTGCATGTTTAGGAACCGGGCGATTGGTCTTGGATTTGACGTGTCGCGTCGGCCTTGTTCCTGGAGGCAGATTCGTTCGTGTTTTACAACACTCGTCTGCTCCGTCTCTCGTCTTTTGCAGCCCTGTACATACGTCTCGGAAATAATGGCTTCAAACCGACTTAGGAATTTCCAGTCTACATAACGGATTCGCCATCCATGGTTGAGTGTTAAGTAACCCCCCAGAGTCCCGTCATAGAGTTCGTGTGCCTAGTAACTTGACTAACCCCCTGTGGATTGACCAACCCAGGATTCGCGCGGCAGCCTTGAAACGTGGATTCGAGACCTCTTGAAACGTGTGCAGACGTAGAATGAGATTTAGTTTGTAAGCCAAGGAATTCGAGGCGTGCATTCGGGAAAAGTCACTGCGGAGGAGGCGAGGAGTCGTGTTTCGAAGCGAGGGTCACGAGGAAAGCGGTTCAAGAGTGCATGAGAGGGATGGACGCGTGAGGGAATCGGCGTCGCACGAGGGAATCGTCGCACAGGAGACGAAGAGGCGGACACGCCGTGCTTCTCCCGCGTCGCCGTCATCTGCAACCGATTCTAGAATCTGAGGAGCTTCAGAGCCTCTGACTCAACGCCGTGTCCCTCCCGAAATAACTGTTGAGTCGACTCAAAAGCCACCGTGCCATCTGACTCGACGCCGTGCGTCTCAAACAGCGACTGCCGGTCGTTTTCGAATCTCTCTGGGACGGCGTCAGCTTCGTTACCGTTGCTTCCTACCTAGGCGCCGGGCAGGCGCCGTGCCGCCGCTGAGTAAGTAAGAAAGCTCGTCCTATGCTTTTGAGAGTCACAGTGTGAGCTTGTAGTCTCGGGGTAGAGGTCGCTCTCCTCTGTCCCTGCGCGCCGAACTCTTGTCGGTAAACTTGTTTCAAATCACTGTGCCTCTCTTCGCTCGGCGTGTCTCCCGTCGTCAGTCTGTCTTTTGCGCCGGTTGTTCCGCTTTCCGCTTATCTGCTTCCACCCTCCCCCCTACCCTCTTCCGCCCTGTTTCGCAGCATGGCATCTGCGGGGCTTCTCTCCCGCAGATGGCGCGGCCTTACCCAGCAAGGTTCCGCCAGCGCGCTTTCCTCCGCCAGCGCGGTTTCGTCCGCCAGCGACGCGGGGACCGCCGGAAGCACGTCCTTGCGCCGCCACGACTCGGGTTCGAGTCCTGACACCGACACTTCTTTCAGCTCACCTATAACGCACATGGGTTCGGGCCCTTTAACGGGGACAGTGGGAGGGAGGCGGCGCGGGGAGGTCGCGGGGAGAGGGACGTTGGGCACAGCTGGGGCTACGAGCGAATCTAGAAGCGAATCAAGGAGGAGCGAATCTGTAGCAAGATTCGCTTATGATGACGATAGTCTGTCTCCCGCGAGGCGGCGTCCCCCAGGATTAGGGCGGCGCGCTTTGTCGTTTGGCATGTCGCCTTGGCGGTTTGACTATAACGATGCCGCTACGAACGCAGCTTCTGGCGAAACTGCGCCTGTGAGAGGATCTAGCAGCGTACGGCAGAGGAGGCGGGGGTTTTCGCGCAGAGGAAGGGCGGGGGAACGGGCAGGCGGAGGCGCGGATTCGTCCCCCTTGACGCCCGCCGGCGCGCGGACGCGGGGTGCTGCGCGCCTGTGGGCCGGGCGGAACAGCAGCGCGTCCGCAGATGGAGAGTCTCCCAGGGGAGCCGGGGGGACCGCCGCCGTGGCTGCTGCTGCGGCGGCTGCGGCTGCCGCGGCGGCGGCTCTAGCAGCAGCGGAAGAGGCGTCAGGAGGAGGATTTGTGGACGTTCCCCTTGACGGATTCCGTCAGATGTCTGTCAGAGGCACAACGTAAGTCGTTTTCTCAAAAGGATTTGGAGCTGGGAGGGTTTTGAAGCTTTTTTTCTTATCCTGATGAATTTGTCCCCCCCTTTTCGCACTCTCGGTTTCAGTCGTGGCTCTCCAGCATCCCCACCGCATCTCACCGCATCAGACCGCAGATCATCTTCCAGAGGTATAGCGTATAGCAACTTTATGTCGTTATTCCATCCTATTCTGTTTCTGATGTTTTTATTTGAAATGTTTCATTTTGTGGAACGACCCTATGTCATTCGAATGATGCCATGTCATCCTTATAACGTCACACCATCCTAATGACTTCATGTCATCCTAATGATGCCATGTCATCCAAATGACGTCATCCCACCCACATCATCAAACAGTGCGCAGGTGGCTCTCCGCCTTGAACGTGATTGGTCGCGTGCGCCGCGACCGCCAGATCAACGATCGCCAGCTCAGCGCCACGTCATCCATGCCTGCGGCTCACCGCGTCCAGGCACCTTCCCCTCCTCTGGGGCAGGGGCAGCAGGGACAACAGGAGCAGGAGCCAAGGCAGGAACAGGAACAGGAACAGGAACAGGGGCGGGGGCAACAGGCGCAGGGGCAAGGGCAAGGGCAGGGGCAGGGGCAAGGGCAAGTTGCATATCGGAATTACATGGTCAGTGGGGGTCATAGTTTCAGCAGCGGATATAGCCCCAGCCGCGGATATAGCCCGAGCCGGTTCAGTCCGAGCCGGGGATTTAGTCCAAACCACAGGTTCGGTGGGAATTTTGGTGGTGGTGTGGGTGGGGGTTTAAGTGGCGGTGTGAACGGGAGTGAGTCTCCTAGTGCTCTGCAGGCACAGTCGAATCCCCACCAGCAGTATCAGCACTATCGGCAGCAGTACAACCACCAACTTCAGCAGCAGCAACAACAACAGCAGCTGAATCCGAATCAGAACCATCATCATTATCATCAAAACCAGAGTGAGCAGGAACAGCTGCAGCAGCAGCAGGCGGTGCTATTTCCTTTCCGCCAGCCCTTCAGGGAGCTACAAACGGGGGGAGGCGCTATCCCCGTGTTCCCATACCCTTCCCCACAACACCCTCTCCTCCAATCCCCCAACGGCCACCCCTCCACCCCTAACGCCCTCCATCCTTCCAGTTCTCCTGTGCTTCAATCCGCCAATATCCTTCATCCCACCAACTCCCCTCTGCACCAAGCCATGTCCAATCGGACCTCCCCCTCCTCCTCCCCTTCACCCAACTCCCCCCGCCTCTACCCCTCCTCTCAACCGCACCTAACCTACTCCAACTCCTTGCCGTTCCGGACGCTTCAGAATCTCCCTGTGCTGCCCCCTCTGCCGGATCAGGACGATGGGGATGACGGCCCACCGCCCGTTGTTGCCACCCGCCCGGCCACGGCTCACTCCAGTCCAAGCCCTGCCGCCCTGGCCCGCGCTGCAGTCGCTGCTACGGTGACTGATTCGCCGCTGGTGCTGTTTCGAGATAGGGAGAGGAGCCGGGAGAGGGAGGGAGGAGGGGAGAGGGAGAGGGAGAGGGAGAGGGAGAGGGAGAGGGATGGGGAGAGGGAGAGGGATGGGGAGAGGGAGATGGGTGGAGAACGGGAGAGGGAGCGGGAAAGGGACAGAGAGAGGGAGCGGGAGAGGGAGCGGGAGAGGGAGCGGGAGAGGGAAAGAGGTGGGGGTTTATCGTCGGCTCGTCTCCCAAGGTGGTTGCGGTCGCGCCGTGCCAGAAGGAATGGTGAGGCCCTTTTGCTAACCCACTCCACTCTGCCGCCTCTTCTCTCATGCTCCCCACCGCTTCCCTACACTTGTCTCCTCTCCCCTCCACTCCTCTCCCCTCCACTCCTCTCCCCCTCCCTTTCTCCTTCTTTTAATCCTCCCCTCCCCTCTCCTCCCCTCGCTTTCCCCCCGTGTTTCCTCTCCCCTCCCGTCCCCTCCCCTTTCCCCCCTTGTTTCCCCTCCCCTTTTTTCTCCCCTTTCCCATCCCCTTTCTCTCCATTTTCCCATCCCCTTTCTCTCCACTTTCCCATCCCCTTTCTCTCCACTATCCCATCCCCTTTCTCTCCACTATCCCATCCCCTTTCTCTCCACTATCCCATCCCCTTTCTCTCCACTATCCCATCCCCTTTCTCTCCACTATCCCATCCCCTTTCTCTCCACTTTCCCATCCCCTTTCTCTCCACTATCCCATCCCCTTTCTCTCCACTATCCCATCCCCTTTCTCTCCACTATCCCATCCCCTTTCGCTCCACTATCCCATCCCCTTTCCCCTCCCCTTTCCCATCCCCTTTCTCTCCACTATCCCATCCCCTTTCTCTCCACCATCCCATCCCCTTTCTCTCCACTTTCCCATCCCCTTTCTCTCCGCTATCCCATCCCCTTTCTCTCCACTATCCCATCCCCTTTTCTCTCCACTTTCCCATCCCCTTTCTCTCAATTTTCCCATCCCCTTTCTCTCCACTATCCCATCCCCTTTCTCTCCACTTTCCCATCCCCTTTCTCTCCACTATCCCATCCCCTTTCTCTCCACTATCCCATCCCCTTTCTCTCCACTATCCTATCCCCATCCCTTCCCAGCCCCCTCGTCAGAAGCACCAGACGATTTCTGGTGGCAGGGGGAGATGAGTGAGGAGGACTCGGGAGTGATTGAGACAGCCATGCATATTTTTCCCCATTTCCCATCCCCTCCCAACTCCCCCCCCCCCCCCCCCCTTCTCATCCCATCCCCCAGCCCCTTCGTCTGAAGCACCGGATGATTTCTGGTGGCAGGGGGAGATGAGTGAGGAGGACTCGGGGGTGATCGAGGCAGCCATGCAGGCCATTCTCATGGACGGACTGGCCGGCGCGCTGCAAGGAGGGGGAGGGGGAGCGCTGGGAGGGGGGCTGGGAGGGGGGCTGCATGGAGCGGGAGGGAGGAGGTTGATGGTGCCGCAGATGTTGTTGTTTGAGGATGAGGAGGCGTGGACGTATGAGCAGCTGCTGGAGCTGGATCGGAATAACGTCAGGCGGTGAGTGGTTGGGTGTGGTCGGGTGTGGTTGGGTGTGACTAGTCGTCTAATAGGGGAGGGAATGTGCAGTGCAGTGAGGCAGATGCTGTTGTTTGAGGATGAGGAGGCGTGGACGTACGAGCAGCTGTTAGAGCTGGATCGGAATAATGTCAGGCGGTGAGTGGTTGGGTGTGGTTGGGTGACTAGTCATTTACTGGGGCAGGGAATGTGCAGTGCAGTGAGGGGATGTTGTTGTTTGAGGACAAGGAGGCGTGGACGTGTGAGCAGCTGTTAGAGCTGGATCGGAATAACGTCAGACGGTGAGTGGTTGGCTCTGACCATATGTTTTGGGTCGAAATGGGTGTTCGTTGAATGGAGGGACGCATGGACGTACGAGGCTTAGTTACACTCCCTTATTTTCCGATTCCACGACGCCCCCCCTTCCTCCCGCCACATCTGCTCCTCTCCTTCTCCCCCCCCCTCCCCACAGCGGGCTGAAGCAGCAGCCGATGTGGAAGCTGGACTTTTGAGGCGCCTCAAAAGTCACAGCAGGCTGAAGCAACAGCCGATGTGGAAGCTGGACCGGCGCCTGGTGAAGGCATGAGGACAAGAGGGCTTATCTGTTGCTCCTCTAACCCCCATCTATCCAGACCTTCACCCTGCCTCTCTTCCTCGTTCGCCATAGCGGGCTGAAGCAGCAGGGGATGCAGAAGCTGTACCAGCGCAAGGTGAAGGCATGAGGACGAGATGGCTTGATCCTTGCTCTACTGCCCTCATTGGCCCCCTTCTCTTCCCCTGTTATTATTCTGCCTGTCTCTCGTGCAGCGGATTGAAGCAGCAGGAGATGTGGAAGCTTGATTGGCACAAGGTGGCCCATGGGGACGAGAGGGCTGAATCATTGCTCTTCTAACACCATCGTCCCCGTTCTCTCCCCCTGTTATGATCTTGTTTAATGTTTCCCCCACAGAGGGCTGAAGCAGCAGGAGATGTGGAAGCTAGATCGGCGCAAGATGGCACATGGGGACGAGAGGGTGGATTGCCAGATCTGCCTGTCTGAGGCCGTGGCAGGCGAGCTACTCACCTCCCTGCCTTGCAAGCACACATACCAGTGAGTATCACTGTGTTATCGGTGCTATTCGCTGCTGTTCGGCGGGGGGAAGTGGGTGGTGAGCATGGGATGAGAGGGTGGGTTGTCGGATCTGCCTCTCAGGGGCCGTGGCAGGGGAGCTACTCACCTCGTCACTGCAAGTAAGCTCTCGTGTTGTAGCATTCTTTTGAATAAAAACCTGTCTGCTACCACAGCAGCAAGGGGTTTGAGCCAACACTGTGCATATTAAAAATGTAATTGTATGTGTATATATACGTATACGTATACATATACATATGTATGTGTATATATTCTGCCTTGGTTTCCACTCTCCTACTGCGACAAGTCACCCGTTTTTTCCTCCCTCCTACCCTACATTCCAGCTCTTCCCCCCGGTTTGTGTCACCCTCCATACAACGACGCCTGCGTCTCCCCCTGGTTCAAGACCCACCGCACGTGTCGCATCTTGAGAAGGCTCAGAGATCCCGCTCGTCCTTATCACCCCCGTTTATGTCACACCCCACCCTCCATACAGTGACGCCTGCATCTCCCTGTGGTTCAAAGCCCACCGCACGTGCCGCATCTTGAGATAGACGTCTTACAAATCCCACCCTTTCCCCGTGTCCCCCCTTTTGTGTCACACCGTCCACACAGAGATGCCTGCATCTCCCCCTGGTTCAAAGCCCACCGAACGTGTCGCATCTTTGCGACGACTCACAAATCCCGCTCTTCCTTATAACCCCCCCTCCTCCCCCCCTCCTCCCCCCCTCCACACAGTGACGCCTGCATCTCCCCCTGGTTCAAGACCCACCGCACGTGCCCCATCTGCCGCTTCGAGATTGCTGACTGAACTGCAGAACTCTTCAGCACATACTTTCTCTCTCTGCTTCAGCCAAAACCTGCCTGTTTTAAGGCGCACCGCACGTGCCGTGCCCCATCTGCCGCTTCGAGATTGCCGACCAGCTCCAATACCTTGCTCAGAACGCATGCACTTGCGGTGCACTGTTGTTTGCTTTAGTGGGACCGGATTTGTTTGTCTCCCTTGCGTGTAAACGCACTCTTGTCGGCATTTGTGTAGGCTCTTTAGGGAGGGGTTGTTGTTGCTCTAGATGTTCCAGTAAGGCCCTGGTGCTATGCTTGCTTGTGTAGGACAACTGTCCTGTCCTGTTCTTCCATAAACAGGAACATGTACTAGTTGACTTCAATGCAGAACATTTTTTTCATGTACGGTAATAAAAAGCATGTTGCCTAATCACGCACTTCCTTTGTGGCGACCAGATTGTATGGTAAATGAGAAAGCAAGGTTGCCTGCCTGCCCTGAGAATTAATACGGTAATAAACGTATATTTGGTACTAAAATAATGGCATGCAATTGGTAGAATAGAGATGGCAAGCGTATATTTGGACAAAAATGGGATCGAGAGAAATTAATGTTGTCATCTAGAAGAAAGGTACAGGACAGGATTATTTGTTACAAGCAAACTCGCTACAAGTCCGAACAATCTGTGCTAACTTCATTCGCAACCACCTTCAAGCCAGCCACAGCTACGTTACGCGAATAACATCCCACACTTTTATCATTACTCGCGAAAGCAAAATGCTGCTCGACCAATTGCGAAGCTTGCTTCCGCTCCTCCTGCTGTCCCTCCTGCCCCCACTCCCCACCCCCACTCCCACTCCCACCCCCACTCCCACCCCCACCCCCACTCCCACCCCCACTCGCACCGCCACCCCCACCCCCACCCCCATCCCCACCCCCCCCACTTCCAGAGATCCTGGTTTCATTACGACAAGCGCCACCTCGTGTCACATTACAGCTGGTAACATTTGTAACCCCTCCTGTAACATTCGTAACCGCTCCCGTTGTACCGGTTCCCGTAACATTCGTACCACCTGGTGCAAGATTGGACCGGATGTCGCGACCAGCCCTCGTGTCATTTGTGTTATTGAACGAGCCCTCGCCAACCCTGGTAGGGTTAAAGCCTGTGCTGCTGCTGCTGTTGCTGCTGCCATCAACATCACCAGCACCACCACTGCAGGACGAGCAGTACTCGATATAAGATCCAAACCGTTGGTTCAAAAGGGTCTCGGAGATCGGACGGCCGACCTTCCTCCCTGACTTGTCCCTCTGTAGGTTGAATGCATAGTCTGTGTCTAGCTTGAAAGAGCCGTTAGCTGGTGGTGGATGAGGGGAGGAAGGGAGGGGAGGCAGGAGGGACGAGAGGAGGGAATAGAGGGGAGAGAATAATAGAGGGAAGGATGGAGCAGTGTGAGTGACTGCATAGTCTGTGTCTAGCTTGACTGGCCCATTGGCTGGTGGAGGGCAAGGGGAGGGGCGCAGAGGAGAGGTGGGAAGAGAGGAGGGAAGAGAGGAGGGAAGTGAGAGGAGGATGTGAGTGAATGCATAATCAGTGTCCCTGGAAGAGACGAGGGAAGCAAAGAGGGAAACTAAACGGGAGGCAAAGAGGGAAGTGGATGTGGGTCAATGCTGCCGGAATGAATCATGAGTCTTTGTGAAGCATGAATCACCTGTTGGCAGGGGCCAGAGAGGTAAGTGACGTCAGGAGGGGAGAGAGTAGGGAAGACCAAAACTAGAACGTACCATCTAGAGAAGTCATTTTGAGGTTGACAGGAAACAAGTACTGCACAGTGACTCACTGAAATCAGCTCATTCCAACTTGCAGACTTAGAACAGCATCGTTTTGAAACGAGAACGCACCATCAAGAGAAGTCATTTTGAGGTTGACAGGGAACAGGTACTGTTCAGTGACTGACATCAGCTCATTCCCCTTTGCATCCTTTCCCGTGATACCAAAACAGCCCTTGAGACATCTCATTGCTAGAACGTACCATCCAAAGAAGTCATTTTGAGGTTGACAGGGAACAAGTACTGCTCAGTGACTGATATCAGCTCATTCCCCTTGGCATCCTTGCTCGTAACCTCAACTGAAGCTCGCGTTACATGAGACCATGCCACCAGCCCTTCACTCCGGAAATACACAGATGCTTCTGCTCCCAGGTTTCCCGTAACTTCGGTGGTAACCGCACCGGACGAGGAGTAAACAGTGCCGGTGATTGTATAGGAGCGGAGCGTGCTTGTAGTGAATCCGGTGCTTGTGGCAGCAGCATCTAGAGGTGTAGAGCCGTCAGCAGTGCTGGTGCTACTGCTACTGTTGCTGTTGTTGTTGCTGCTGCTGCCGAAGCTGTTGTTGGCCGACGCATTCGAGGGATCATAAGCAGAAGGCACGATGAAAGTGTTTGTGATGGAAGGAACTGGAGCCTGGGGCAAGGAAGAGCAGGGAGGATAGGCAGGCAGGGCGAAACAGGGAATGCAGGGGAGGCAACTTATAAGGCGCTTCAAAAAGAATTCGAGGGGTCAGAAGTGGGAGGGAAAACGAAAGTGTTTACGATGGAAAACACAGGAGCCTGGGGCAAGGAAGAGCAAGGAGGACAGGCAGGCAGGGCGGGCGGAGGAGGGAGGGCAGGCACTCCTTCACTATTATATAGAAATATGATATATATGTATTATATATTATGTATGATTGCTTACGTTGATAAATGGCTGTGTGCCTGTAGTGGCCTCCCGAACTGGGTCCACCCACAGCTGGAGAACCCCCGAAACCATCCATCGGGCAGCCCGGCCGACCACGGGCACGCTGACCGAAATTTCGTGCGGCTGCCCGTCCACTAGCACGCCGACAAACGGCGTGATGTCGAGTGAATAAGTGGGGTTGCTGAAGCAGCCGATTCCGATGAGGGGGGCCCAGAGGAGAGGGGCGACGGCGGAGGGGTAGAGGGTTGGGAAGGGGAATACTGCCCCTGCGAATTGGTTGTCTATGAATAAAAGGAGCTCACGGAAGGGAGCGGATGATGAGGAGAACGAGGAGGAAGAGAAAGAGGAGGAGGACGACGACGATATTGAGGTTGAGGTTGAGTTGGGCGAAATCATGAAGAAGAATTCGTCGCTGCCACGCCTGGTTACCATCAGCTCGAATTTCGCCGTTACGATGTCGCGAGGCAGCGCGGGAAACGTCACAGAAGCTTCCAGTGAGGAAGAAGAGGGAGAGGAGGTGGATATGGAATCTTCGCCCGTGATTGTAAAGGGGGAAGGGTAGGATATCCCCGGTGGTTGAATGGAGAAGGGGAGAACAACGTCTGGAACAATGGCTCGGTTGAATCGAGAGGTCTTGAAAAAGAGGAGATCAATGCTGACGTAGAAAACACCTGCACCAGGTACAGACAAAATCGGGTTCGGTGCAATGAGAATCTGGCCTCGACTCGCTATCAGCCCATGCTGAAACAAAGAATGATAGGGTTACGTGGGATGAATGTATTTCCGAGGTGCATGTCTTATGCGGTTACCTGTTAGCGTGTCGTTGACCACATTGGGGAGCGAGACAAATGCTTGCTTCTCCTGTCAATGGAATAAATGCGGAGGCAGAAGTGAATGAGGAGACAGTGAGTAAAAGGCTCGGAGGAAGACCGAAGAGAGTTTGAAACATATTGAAAGGAAAAAAGGAGCACAAGAATGACCTTTGCAAGCGCGGATGCGAATGTAGTGACGTCTTCTTCAAATGAGTAGGATGCCGACACACCCAAAGGCTCCACAGTACTGCGTTAAAAGGGGGGAGGAGATAGGAAGAAGGTGGGTGGAGTCGTAACGCATGCCACACATAACCAGAAAAAAAGAAGGAAAAAACAAAACATATTCCATTCATAGGAAGAAAAAATATTGCATGGATATCAGGGGTACAGTGTTTGGGTGCACGAGCAGCTCACATGGACCTGGAGACCTCGAAGTTGCCGAGGAACACGGACAGCACGCGGTCGAATTGCACCCCGCTCACATTCACGCGCACGCTCAGCAGCACCAGGGACCACGCCTGGCGGAAACGCAGCCAATCAGAGAAGCACATGCAGGGAACACCGAAAGGAGCGGGGTCGACAGAAAGTTGCCGTCCCGAGGCAGGGGAAATCCGGAACGTGAAAACATACAATTGGAAAGATAATACTGGGTGTAGACTAAAAAAATATTCTGACGAGAGGGGAATACGCTACAACATGGAAAGTGATAAAAGCACGATTCACTAGCTTGTGACCACGGGGGAACTCGGCGGGCCCAGCGACTAGGTATAGAAGGCGGGGAACGGAAAGTGAGACACGGGGAAGGTGGGAGGTGGGGGTGGGGGGAAGAGGAGCGGGGGAAAGGGGGAAAAGGGGGGGTGGGGCGGAGGGGGGAGGGGGGGAATCGAGGGGAGAGGGCAGCAGGTTGGGTGGGGTGGGACGGGAGGGCGTGAAGTGGATGTTTTGGGGAAGGAGGAGGGGGGGAGGTGTAAGAGACTTTGAGTTTGAGGGTCGGGCAGGGGGGAGTTATGGATGGGGAGATGGGAGGAAAAGAAGGGTGGAGGGTGGAGAGAAGAGAGTGAAAGCAGGGATTTCGGTAACATGGTGAGAGAACTGAAGTGGTAAGTTGGCTTTTGAGAATTCTTAAAGGACGTACGGAGCCGCACGAAGCAGGGATGGAGTAGTTTTTCGCGACGGGTGGGTCGCCGACGGTGTCGTCGAACGATTGGTTGCGAAGCAGAGTAACGACGCACGGCTTCACCCCGCGAGGCCTTGCGATTGGCCGAGCGACCTCGAAAAACTCCACGTCATCGTCACTGGTGTCGTCGTTGCCTCCGCTAACGCCGCTAGTACCAGAACCGCCCGAATCGCTAAACGACTGAATCTTCCCTTCACTTCCCGTTTCGCCTGTTTTCGCAGGCTGTGAGTTCGTTTCAGATTGTAGCTTCAGTGAAATCGGGTCATTTCCGTCGGCTGGTCGTGGGGGCTCTAAACTATCTGGACCTC